ATCTGAGTTATAAGTATCTGACTGGAACAAGGCGACTATATGCACATCTCCTCTTAGTATCCCATAAAGTTTCATTGAATTCCAGCCGGTGGTAGCAGAGAAGTAGTGAGGAAACAAATATTTTTCTATATGGATACTGCATAACTAATCAAGGGCCATAACTCTGAGTTAAAGTGTCTGACCGGAACAAGCCGATGATATGCGCATCTCCTCTTGGTATTGAAGGTTCCCATAAAGTTTTGTTGAATTCCAGCCAGTAGTTGCAGAGAAGTTACTACGTTACTACGTAACTAATCAAGGGCCATAACTCTGAGTTAAAGGGTCTGACCGGAACAAGCCGACGATATGCCCATCTCCTCTTGATATTGATGATTCCCATAAAGTTTCGTTGAATTCCAGCCAGTAGTTGCAGAGAACTACTCCGGAAATGATTTTTACTCCATGTGCATATTGCATAACTAATCAAGGGCCATAACTCTGAGTTAAAGTGTCTGACCCAAACAAGCTGACGACATGCGCATCTCCTCTTGGTATTGAAGGTTCCCATAAAGTTTCGTTGAATTCCAGCCAGTAGTTGCAGAGAAGTAGCGCGGAAACGATTTTTACTCCATATGCATACTGCATAACTAATCAAGGGCAATAACTCTGAGTTAAAGTGTCTGACCGGAACAAGCCGACGATATGCGCATCTCCTCTTGATATTGATGATTCCCATAAAGTTTGGTTGAATTCTAGCCAGTAGTTGCAGACAACTACTCCGGAAACGAAATTCGGACGGACGGATGGACGGACGTTCCTACTGAGTTGACATTATGGGGTTTTTTCTTTGATCTCCTTTGATCTCTAAAACCCCATAAGCAACGTATTTGCACCCCATAAGCAACCTTTTTCCCCACAAGTATCGTCTGTACGGATTGAACATGGATATTCACCCCACACCGTCATTTCAGTGAGAGCGGAGGGACGAACGGACGGTCAGATGCGCATCTCCACTTGATATTGATGATTCCCATAAAGTTTCGTTGAATTCCAGCCAGTAGTTGCAGAGAACTACTCCGGAAACGAAATTCGGACGGATGGACAGACAGAAGGACGGACGGACAACGCCAAAACTATATCCCCCTCCCGATTCCATCAGCGGGGGATAATAATTATATTCTTATTTGTATGCATACAAGGTGTGTTCAAAAAGTTCGTGGACTTTGCTGTCATTTTTTGCTTGGTTTATAAAAACAACCTTGGTTGATATGTTACTCAAAAATTAAGGAATGCACAGTACCGATTCTTGTGCACTGCACTTCTTCTTAATGAGATCTATCATCCTATGAAGTTTCAAGTCCATAGCTTTTATACTTAAGGAGAAATGGCCCGGACAAAATTGAAGTATGAAAATAAACAAAGGGCAATAACTCAAAAAATAAGAAATACAGAGTACCTGTTCTTGTGCACTGCACTTCTTCTTAATGAGACCTATCATCCTATGAAGTTTCAAGTCCATGGCTTTTATACATTAGGAGAAATGGCCCGGACAAAAATAAAGTATGAAAATTAACAAAGGGCAATAACTCAAAAAATAAGAACTGCAGAGTACCGGTCCTTGTGCACTGCACTTCGGGTTATTGAAAGAAGCATGCATACCAAGTTTGAAGTCAATCAGACTTATAGTGACTGAGTTATGCTCCGGACAAACTTTAGGGGACGCTGACAACGACGCTGACAACGACACAGACGCCGCCGCCAACAAAAGTAACCCCTATATGTCACCTTTTCAAGGCGACACAAAAACTAGAAATTCACACTTTCGGAAAGTTTTGCCATCAAATTTAGGATACTCCTTCATCTTCATATGAGGTAGTTAAATTAACAAAGGGCAATATGAGTTGGCGACCAGGTCACCCTGTTTCAGCTGGCGCAAGTGATTCAAAACCGGAGAATTCATGACCATAGACAGGAAGAAGGGAGGGAGAAAGCGGTGAATCGCCATGACATTTAGAACGTCAATTGCAAAAGTGTTACAGGAGGATGGACAGTATGAAAGGTGTGCGAGCTGTCCGGCATGTTTAGTTTCTGCATCGGGTCTACACTATCAATATTGACCAAACAATTAAATTTAACCAAAATTTTATTTTATTTAGCAGGATGCATGCGTATTTACAATAAATAAATGTAGTTACTATTTGTATTACATGTATTTTCCCTGACTTGTTTGATACTAGTATTAAATGCTAACCGGTGTTCAGTAGATTTACCGCAGATAACAATTGTCAGTTGATAAACTATTTTTTTTTACTGTTAGGAATCATATTTTTTAAAGATCAGACGATGGTGGTTTTAAATTGATACAATAAATCATCAATTGAATCAACTTGATAACAATGTTCATATATTGTAATTTTTCACTGTGTATTCTAATTTTTATGCCCATATGTATATCCTTCTTCATTTGCAATTGTAATTTCTACATGTTTATATTTTAATTCCTGTATCATGTATATGTATTTTATAATTCCTATACAACATATAGTCTAATTCCTATGAATAAATTCTAATACCTATGTATATTATGTAATTCCTATGCCTCTATTCTTTATAGTCTGTATTAATTTCCATGCAAACATTTATATTTCAGCTTATATTTATAAATATGCTGGCAGGTATTCTATATTTCATATATATATATTACAAACCTTTGCTACAAAATTTAACAGCTTTAGCAAAAAATCCTTTTCTTTATTTAAATATCAAATTGTTTCACATCTTTACTCTTAATTCCTTTTAATGTGAACTCATATGCATACAAAATATAAATATATATGCATGTATAAAACCTATGTATAACTCTTAATTACAATGTAATAAGCATTATGTTTTCACAAAATTTACAAAATACATACATGAAATATGGATCCCATAATAAGCATTTTTCCAATGACAACATCAACAGGTAGTTTAGACAACATCAGCCCTATTGGTGTAAGACTTTCATCCTCAAATAAAGCACCTTGTTCTCGCAGAAATATAATTGCATTCTCAAGACTCTGGATGCTAGGGGCTTCAATGAATGGAAACCTGAATAAAGAAATTATCTGGATTATGGATTTACTTTTTTATTATAAGTGAAAAGGTGGATAAAGGGTGGGTGACAACGGTGTTTTGAGTTAAAACTTGTTTTGAGTTAAAATACATAATTACTTTTAAAGAAATTAGTAATGTTTGAAATTTACTGATGGAGTTCAATCAATAGCCAATGAGTAAACTAACAAAGTGATAAATTTCACTTAGTTTTCACATGCATAAATCTGGATTCAACCTCTGAACAGTCAAAAGAAATATTAAGACAGAATATAAATCATGTGCGAAATAAAAAATTGTACAAAAAGAACGGACTAATCACAAAACAACAATGAAATATATTTTAAGAAACTTACTTGCGGGGGTCAGGCAAGCCCATTGAGATCATTTGTAGTACAAGAGAGTCTAGCGGGACACGTTGGATCTCTGGGGTGGTATACTCTTGGTAACTTTCATATTCTTTCTCATCATATAATCTAAAACAGACACCTGGACCTGTCCTACCTGAAACACAACAAAAGCTGACCTAATTCAACTATTCTCAGTGCTTGACTGTCAGAAAAGAGGCATAACTCCTTGTACACTGTGCCCATCATGTTAGATTACCACATAGAACAAGTGTATGTAGTTTCAACTCATTCCCTTCAGTAGTTTCTGAGATATCAACTTACATCAACTATAGAACTGAATAAATATGTATGTCTTTGGGTCATATTCGATGCCTTTTTAGGCCATACAGAGGTCAAAGTCTAATAAATACATATATTTAAGTGTAACAGTGGTAAAAAAAATAAAGATTAAAAATTAAAAATTTAAATTCGAAAGATACATTATAATTCAACATGCAAAATCATAACGAAGGACAAATTGGACGGGCAACAATTTCAAAGTCCAAAAGTAATAGTCACCAGGTTTAAATCAAAGTCATCCAAAGGAATGTCACATTTATTCAAGGTTAAAGTTAAGAAACATTTACAAAAATGTATCTACTGTCAAGTGAAGCTATAAATCAACCATACCATTTAGACTTATGGCCCAATAAGCTTCATAAATGATACAATTTTAACTTTTCAAAAGCTTTTAATTTTTGGTATTCTGTCACTGAGTTTTCAGAAAGTTACTCATTGTCATATTTCTGAGTTCTTTTCTGTTTAGGTAATAAGTATAGTTATAATGAATAAGTATTTTGTATGGAAGTCAAAATACCACCTTGTTTACATTTCCATACCTTTATCACAATTTATTTCACATTCTGAAGAAAAACATTACAAGTACAACAACAAAGGCTGCACTTACAATATTAACTCCCTTTCATTGATGCTCAGGAAAAGAATATTATTATTTCTTTAGTGAATATAACACTTAACAGGTCAATTGACAGAGTTTAAGAAACTTTGTTAGCTATATAGAAAAGCACACGAACTGACAGTACTAATCAGAAATACTTTATATCTAACAAAACAATCATTAGGTCACATTCAATAGGAAACAGGTTTCTATAAGCATGAACAATATTTTATTTAAATCGATGAAAAATGCAATTACAATTGCACCTTGTCAAGATAAAAAAGTATTCCAAGTTGTCCAAGTTTAATGTTGATAACTTTTAAAATGTTTGAATAATGGGCAACATTAAAGTTTTTGAACAACAACATGGATGACAACAACACAGCAATCATAAAACAGTGTACCTTGAATTTTTTCTTCAAAACAGACAAGCTAAAAATCAACAATAATCACCTGCTCTGCCTTTTCTCTGTTCGGCACTAGCTCTGCTTATAGAGAACTCCTGTAGTCTCTGCATTTTGTACTTCGGATCAAAACTCATCTCCTTCACCTTCCCAGAGTCCACTATAAACCTCACACCATCTATAGTTACTGACGTCTCAGCAATGTTGGTTGAGACTATACACTTTCTAACACCCTCAGGAGCAATGTCAAACACCTTAAAATTATAAACTATACACATGTATTACTAAATAATGAGCCACATATATGACAAGATGAGGACAATGGTAATCCGATGTAGAATTGCCACATATAGTTCTGAGGATTGAAAGTAAATAAAGCAATGAAATTCCTAACTATAGTTTACATAACTATTAAATTTTGAAAATAAATAATTCCAAAAATACCTATATGAAAGAAATACGTTTTTATGGAGTATACACAAAATCATTGATAAATGGTTAAAACCCTTCTTAATATAGGGCATAATACTTTGTTTCATGTTCTATGTATGTACAACATTCATGTCAGATAAATAACAGTAGATATTCTAAGTAACAACTCTTTTGAGAAACAATAATGAGATTATGGAAACAGTTTATAAATTTTACAAAATATTTAGTAGATATAGTTTTTGTTCCCTTTAAGTTTTTTTAGAGAATTAAAAAATATGCAAATTAATAAAAAGGTCAGAATTTGTTTGTCACAAAATTAAAATGTTTTACAGTATGTAACATATATGAGCTGCGTCACGACAAAACCAACATAATGGGTTTGCGACCAGCATGGATCCAGACCAGCCTGCGCATCCGCGCAGTCTGATCAGGATCCATGCTGTTCGCTTACAAACCCTATTACAGGTAGAGAAACTGATAGAGAACAGTATGGATCCTGACCAGACTGCGCGAATGCGCAGGCTGGTCTGGATCCATGCTGGTCGCATACCCATTATGTTGGTTTTGTCATGACACGGCTCATATATAGATACAGATATATCAGGTTTATACACACACCTTTTCCTGTTCATCAACAGAGAGTGCACTATGAAGGGGCAGTACTATCCATGTTTTTGTTTGTTGAGTGTACGCCCTAGCTGCCTCTACCACAGACATTATTTCTTTCTGCCCACTCAGAAATATAAGTAGATCTCCACGTTCTGAACGAGGGTACTGTAAAACAAATATACTGGTGTCAGGTGATATTATCATATATAATTATCCTGATAATATTGTATGAAGAGGCACAAAAAAGAATCAATTTTAAATGTAAGTTATTATAATACTGCAAGTTTGAAAAATAACTTTGTTTCATTAAAGTATCATGTCAGATGTATATATTATTTTCATACATGATAGGAGCATTGTTTCCTTAAGCCATGTAGGCAGCATCCTATCCTAGTGAAGTGAAGTGAATTTTTTTTAAGTCTACCTAAAATTCCTAACAGCCTTCTAAACATATTTATTTGTACTAAATAGACACCAATCCAGACAGAAATTCTAGCATAGTAACCATCAGCCTGTAAAGAAGTTCACCTACACATAAAAGATAAACGATGCTACACTCTTGCATGGCTACTGCAAATTTTTCAAACAAAAAAGCAAAACATATAACATTTACCAGTAATATATGTGCACCAATGCCTTACTGCTTATATATATAGCCTTACAATTTCTTACATGTCATTTGAAATTATTTAGCACACTTGACTACTACATGTGCAAAAGATGGGCATACAACACACACTTATCAATAACCAAAGGCCAGGTGAGATAAAAATATATATACATGTATATATCAAACGCAAAAAAAAAAATATATAATTTAATTTATAAATTCAAAGAGAACCTTTTTCTCAATTCTCTGCATAATTTTGAGGTATGGTGAGGGGTCCAGCCTCTCTGTTCTTGTATCACTGTCCTTCTGTATAGGACAAAACTCCATCTCTATAGGATATAGTCGTCCAGGTACCTGATAATATTGTAATGATAGACATACATGTATTAACAAACAATTATTTCAAGTGATACCCAGATTTATGAATGAAATTGCTTTGTGATATATCCATTATGTTTTAACATATAAATCACTTAGGGATATACCATATCTGTATTTTTATTTTATAAATTTTATAAGACTGTGATCATATCAAGATTTGTGCATAAATAATTATTTAAGGACACATAAGTTTTATTGAAGTGCATGGAATTCTGTCAACGTAGATCTATAAACTATGTTTTGTATATGAATTATATCAGGATAAAGCAAAGTAAAGAGGGAGTTATGGTGTAAGATATTTTGATATTACATGTAGTTACTTTGCTCAATAGTTTAATACCAATGCTTTTGAACAATCAACAACTATAACCAAAATATTATACATCTAAAAGGCTTGTTTCATCTTAAATGCTGAAATAGTTAAATATACAGTTTGTAGTTCTATTCAATAATCACTTTTGAACATTTTATTGCATATTTAAGCTTATTTCTGATTGTTTTTGAGACAATATCATTCTTTATCAACTCCTTTGTGATAATACAATGATTTTGTCAAAAAGTATAACAAAGAATTATGCTAAATGAACAATACCTTCATAACTGGAGCATCTTCAAAATAATTGCTGAAAAGATCAATGTTGATGGTTGCTGACATCAGCACAACCTTCACATCGTCACGGTGATGTACGAGACATTTGAGAATGCCAAGCAGGAAGTCCGTGTGAATGTGCCGCTCATGAACTTCATCAATGACTATCACGTTATACATTGACAGGTGCGGGTCTGACGTCATCTGACGTAACAATAAACCTAAATATATAACAATAAACCTAAATATCTAACAATAAACCTAAATATATAACAATAAACCTAAATATATGACAATAAACCTAAATAAATAACAAACATGTATGAGGGGTGGAGTAGGGTTGTTTGTGAATAAGAGTCAAAGTTTCTTTGTGCATTAGAAGTGGAGTATGTTTGTATGTGTATCATAGGTGGAGTAATTTTTGGGGGAATTAGAGATGAAGTAAGTTTGATTGTGTATTATATGTGGAGTAATTTTTTTGGGGAATTAGAGATGAAGTAAGTTTGATTGTGTATTATAGGTGGAGTAATTTTCTTGGGGAACTAGAGATGAAGTAAGTTTGATTGTGTATTATAGGTGGAGTAATTTTCTTGGGGAATTAGAGATGAAGTAAGTTTGATTGTGTATTATAGGTGGAGTAATTTTCTTGGGGAATTAGAGATGAAGTAAGTTTGATTGTGTATTATAGGTGGAGTAATTTTCTTGGGGAATTAGAGATGAAGTAAGTTTGATTGTGTATTATAGGTGGAGTAATTTTCTTGGGGAATTAGAGATGAAGTGGGAAGTTTGATTGTGTATTATAGGATGAGTAATTTTCTTGGGGAATTAGAGATGAAGTGGGAAGTTTGATCAAATAAGTCTGATTGTGTATTAGAGGTGGAGTAAGTTTATTATGTAAAAGTGGTTAAGTAGTTAAATTGTTTCTATATAAGAGGTAGGGTAAGTTTATATGTGGTATGTTTAATTGTTTATTAGGTGGTGTAAGTTTGTTGATCCTAGCATACAGTATATACATGTATATGATTAGAATTTTATGCTTAAAACTGAAACCAGAGAGTCAGTCACAGCAGCAAGGCAAAATGTTACTCTATCTTAAATTACTTTAATCTTTCCATTGACAATAATTTGCAGCATTACGAACAATCTCTTAATTTTCATAAAAACAAACATGAATCTGAAAGTATGCTGCTTTTTACTAATTAACAATCAATTAACAATTAATATTATCAGAAGGTCCATTTATTCATCAGTCCCCAACTCATTAATCATAAATATTCGCCTTTTAGCCGTTTTTATGGCTTTGTAAAAAGACAAGTTCAATTAAATCAAACTGTTTCCTTTAAACAATAACTAATATATCAACTGAGTCCATATGAATTATCACCGTATCAAAAACCCTCAAAACTTTTATTGCAATTCTGCTTCGTGATATATAGTCAATTACAATAATTTTACCTTGGGGTTACGTTTTAATTTTCTCACCTTCAGTCAAGAAGAGTATCTTTGTGTTGCTCGTTTTCGTTTTCTCGAACCGCACCTAGAAGTTAAATTTCCTTATCACTATAATTAATCAATAAATTATTGCCACATAATTAAAGAAATATACTCCAGGGATAACAACAATTATACTTTATATATTGTAGAATCCCCAAGATAATCAAAACTCAAAGATGAAATTTACAGTAAATTAAACAGAAATTAAACTTACGCTCTACAAATAAAATGCTTCAAAGAAATGAATTTCATGTCAGAAATAAAACAAAAAAACCTGACCATTTCATTAAAGGAAGAATAAAAAACAATAGAAGGAAAATAGATTTAATTACATTGATGGCTCGTGCCACCTGATGCCACGTTTAATTTTATAAATATTTCTCAGAGTTCACACTAAATCTATTGAAATATCATTAAAGCATTTGTGAATTCTTTGATTAAAATTGTTTTTCAATAATAGTTGTTTCATCATAAATATTGTTTACACAAGATACATTTTTTTGTGTTATATGGTTCTATTTTAATAAACGTTCAAAAGTAATTGTTTTGTGCTGTGGTATGCCATTTTGTAGCGATAGTTCCGTCATTTAACTTATGAGTTGTTTAACCAGTATAATTATACACATGCTATGTTGATGATTTATGTTAAACAAACGTAAAGGAAGAGGAAATAATAATTGTTGGCAGAATACCTATATGTGAAATCTGTAAAATCAAATCTTCTGAACTGATTGTTTGTCTGGATGTAAGTCATACCAGCAGCTTAATGGTGGAGAAAAACATCAGGTGCCCCTTCATGCATTAATTCAGACACTCCCAGGCACCATAGTAACCATCAACCTTCAGTAATTTAACAAGATAACTCCTCACATGAAATAATCAACAGTACCTGATAGGATTTTCAAACTCACAGCAGTCAGTGGCAAGTGATTTGAAGTCAACAACCTTGACCACTCAGCCACAGAGCTACCAACACTACCAACCCTAGGGATTGGAGTTGTAAATCAACCCTCCCCTCCACTACCTTAGACTTGGTGTAAGTTATAAAACATTTTTCTCTTACCTGGAACAACCCTCCCCAACCCTACCTTAGACTTGGTGTAAGTTATAACACATTTTCCCCTCACCTGGAAAAACCCTCCCAACCACTTCAAGTTATTACACATTTTCCCCTTACCTGGAACAACCCTTCCTACCCCTACCTTAGACTTGCTGTAAGTTATAACACATTTTCCCCTTACCTGGAACAACCCTTCCTACCCCTACCTTAGACTTGCTGTAAGTTATTACACATTTTCCCCTTACCTGGAACAACCCTCCCCACCCCTACCTTAGACTTGCTGTAAGTTATAACACATTTTCCCCTTACCTGGAACAACCCTCCCCACCCCTACCTTAGACTTGCTGTAAGTTATTACACATTTTCCCCTTACCTGGAAAAACCCTCCCCACCCCTACCTTAGACTTGCTGTAAGTTATTACACATTTTCCCCTTACCTGGAACAACCCTCCCCACCCCTACCTTAGACTTGCTGTAAGTTGTAACACATTTTCCTCCTTACCTGGAAAAACCCTTCCACGCCTACCTTAGACTTGCTGTAAGTTATTACATATTTTCCCCTTACCTGGAAAAACCCTTCCCACCCCTACCTTAGACTTGCTGTAAGTTGTAACACATTTTCCTCCTTACCTGGAAAAAACCCTCCCCACCCCTACCTTAGACTTGCTGTAAGTTGTAACACATTTTCCTCCTTACCTGGAAAAACCCTTTCCACCCCTACCTTAGACTTGCTGTAAGTTGTAACACATTTTCCTCCTTACCTGGAAAAACCCTCCCCACCCCTACCTTAGACTTGCTGTAAGTTGTAACACATTTTCCTCCTTACCTGGAACAACCCTCCCCACCCCTACCTTAGACTTGCTGTAAATTATTACACATTTTTCTCTTACCTGGAAAGCAACATCAGAGCCATACTCGTTCAGAGTTTCATATCCCACACGCTTTGACAGTGAAACACAAGCTATCCTCCGAGGCTGAGTACATGCTATCTTCTCATAACCCGCCTGCAGTAAATACTGAGGTACCTAAAACAAGATATATACCATATGTATTTGTTTAACCATCCACTGTACTTTATTTACTACATATACATCTACCTACTACAAATGTGTAGGGGAATTATAAATCTCTGACATAATAGACCTTTTTTCAGCTAGAGATTCAATGGTATTACCCCATTGTGCATTGGATTTGTATTGCATTGCAACATAAAACTGATGATGACCTTCCTATGCAACCAGTACAGTACAGTACTCATGGTTATAAATCTGAAATCACAAATTATGGGAAAATATGCGTGTGACAGGATAGCTCATTTGAAAGAGCAGTAATATAGAATTATGAGGGGAGCATACTGAATCAGGCTGCAAGCCATTCTAATCCTGTAACATTACATTTGTTACCCGAAATGGGGAACAATATGAATTTAATGGCCAAGATGGATTTTTAATCAGCCTCTGTACCCTTAAAAAAACACGAGTTTGTTTGATTGTGTTTTACATCACACAAACACAGTATAACGTCATATAGCGATGTTCCAGCTTTACTGGTGGAGGAAGACCTCAGGTGCTCTTCCATGCATTATTTCAGGCATGAACGGGCACCTGAGTAGAACCACCGACGTTCCGTAAGCTAGCTGGATAGCTTCCTCAAGAATCCAAAGTCCTGGTTGAGATTCAAACCCACAGCAGTGAGGGGCAAGTGGTTTGAAGTCAACGACCCTAACCATTCGGCCACGGATGCCCCTAAAATACACGAGGATGAATTTCAATATAGAATGGGTGGCTTTGTCATTGTATAGAACTGATTACTTATTATATAGCAGACAAATGTGTAATCCGTTGATAAATTTGCAAAAATCAATTTGACTGGGTCCAGGTTCAAGTCCCAGTTAGACAGAACATCTTTTGCAATCTGTCATACACTTCAACCAGACTCTATTGTAACAGTACTGGCTGTTTATTTTTAGCATTTCTTTATTAAGACCAATCTTTACTAAAATTAACTTGCTCCAAGTTTGAAGCAAACCATACAAACCATTATATAAATTTAACATATTAGTGCTGGTAACTTGACTGGTAATAAACAGTTTTGTGTAACTCAGTGTTATATGCTCTATAGTTTATTCAATTAGTTTATCAAAGAAAAATACTGACAAAAGTACAATTTTCTAAGAAAACAATTTGAAATCATATTATGAAACTTCAAGACTAAATGGTAACCAAACAAAAGTAAATGATCTTTTAACCCTTATCATCCTAAACATCTTAAATTTATGGACTTGTCCATCTTTCAATCTGGACAAAACCATGTATCATTATTAGGGGAAAATTCCAAATAAATACTGTGTAGTAGAGGTGTGCAATATATCGCAATTTATTGTATATCAAATTATTTTATCTGAAAACTTCATGTCGCAATATGTTTTCAGATATTACAATAGATCTAAGCTATTAACTTTTGATAAAAAACAAAAATTCTATTAAAAATAAAAGTGTTATAAACTGGTGACCTGTATATATAGCCAATGACTTAAAAATCTCATTTGTTGTTGAAAACTCCTTCATTTACAATGCTGCTTAAACAGAGTGCTTAGTCTTCTCTTAAAGGACCTCTCATGTAAGATTTATTAGGACATAATTTGGAATGATAAACTCTTAAGTCAAGGTTTTGAAGGTATTACCCTTAATTTTCAAGCATTTTATATACATGTATATCACAATGTATTATATTGCAATAATTATTGCAATACAATTTTATGTTTTCAATAAACTGTTTACATTTCCACATTATTTTAGTTATGTAAGTGCACCGAGGCTGCACTGATTTGTAATCTCAATAAAAATATGAGAAAGACTAATAAATATAAAACTTATTATAAAAGTAATTCGTTATTACCACATGAAGTACAGGAATCTGATTAAAATAATTTCCATAATGGAAATTAATTAAGTATACAGTTAGGTTTGTGACCATGGATATTGCTAGGTTACATCTATATACTATTCTTTTCATAATTTTGTATTACACATTTTAGTCTTGATAGATGAAAATTAACTGTTTCGTAATATCTTCAAACAAGAGAATCTTGTGGGCATGTCTTAGCCCTAGAAAAAAAGGAACATGATGATGCTAGAATGCCTGAGATCTATTGCTAGATTTGTTCATTCACATTGGGTTTGTCATTTTCTTCAAAACAGACAAGCTAAACAGGATGATAGTCTTACTTCAATCTAACTACAGAAGCTGTTATTAAGAATAGTCTGACTTGGATCACCTTAAAAAAACAAACTCATTTCTCCTGCTTTAGTCTTCTGTCTTTTTTTTTAATCCAAGATCTCTTTTTCTTTACTACATGCAATCATAAGGATTTTTTTTTCAACTTCTATAAAAGCTATGATATATTGCTCACTCGAGACACTGTGTAATTAGATTAAATTGTATGATAAACAAAGAATTGCGGAATAAATCTAAATATCTAAATGAATAATACTATAGAGACTATGATGCCAATATAAAATAAAACTAAGACCAAATGAATAACCTCTTTAATCTACGTATTAAAATAAGTTGAGAGATATTCAAATCAATATTTAAGCATTAGCAATATTATCTATATAAATGTGACAAGAAAATCAAACACAAGACCTGACGGCAACTAAACGCTTGCGAAACATTAAAAGAAGATAGGAAAGTGTTTTAAATCAACCCTATTTCATAAAATTCACACTGGCGTGAAGATCAAAAGTGCGTTACTTTGTACAGATAGAAGTTCCTTAAAGGTATATACAGGTCAAATATTAGAGAAAAGTGATAATGTAACATTCAATCCATTATTAAATGCATTAAAGGTTTGCAGCATCACCACCATTATTTGTTCTTTATTTTCATACAGTTCTAACAGTGTTGCGTTAAGCCCTCGGCAAATAACGTACCTTACATGAAACACACATGCTTTTACTTCAGTTTTGTTATGAAGCTAATATGTACGATATCTAACAAAAAAAAATACAACAACACGGATTGAAGCTTTAAGCACTTCGTGACAACATCTACATCACAAAATCTTCTATCATTCTCAAGAGATATAATTGTTTTCGCTAGATCTTTTATTTTTTTCTAGGTTATGAAAAAAAAATCAACAAGTTCATCAAACTTGTTTTGATTTTTTTCATATTCAATACAATCCTATCAGCTTACAATTATTAAAAAAAATTAGTAACACAAAATGCATCCAGAAAACTCCTGACCCACGTGGGATTCTTACATGCGACCACAAGCTTACAAGCAAATAAGCAATTCTTTAGACCATTGAGTATCAGAAGTTGCACAAGTATTTATAGGTAAACTGGTATGTGAGCCGTCCAGTTAGCTCAATAAGTATAGTATAGGAGTGTGAATCGGGTGATAGGGTTTGATTCCTGGACGTGGCAGGTCACTTTTATTTTGATTAATCATGAAATCCTTTCTATGGTCATTTGCATTGTACCTTTGCTCTAACATATACAGAAGTTATCAGTTTCCTTTGAAAGTGAATGCAACTAATATTGGTAAACTGCTTGACAGCATGCCCAGGAATGATGTGGTGTACTCTGGTTAACTCAATGTGGCTTACTCTGTCAGTATACTCTACATTCTAAACTGACTGTGTAAATTACCTTCTACATTGTACCTTATCTTATGTCAAACTGTCACTGTCAAGGTCATATAATAATTTCCAACTTCATCACTGGAGGAAAATCTCAGACGCCCTGGTGTGAATTTTCAAATTCATGGGCAGGCAACTTAATATAAGTACTAATATAAAGTAAGTTAGCTGGATAGCAATGTCACAAGGAAGAATTGAGAACTGCAGTGAGGGGCAAGTAATTCCAAATTTTGGTTATCTTAATTTTTAGCAAGTTTGTGTTAAAGTAGAAATTAAAATAATTGAGTAGATTTGTCACAAAGACAAAAGCTGCAAAGTTTGCATGAGAGTAGGAATTGAAATACTTGAGTAAATTTGTGACAATGACAAAGTGGCCAAAATTGAGTTAAAGTAGAAATTAAAATAACACAGAAGATTTGCCAAATTGACCAAAGCTGCAAAATTTTCGTCAGAGTAGAAATTGAAATACCTGTGACCATGACCAAGTGATCAAGTTTGCATAAAAGTAGAAATTGAAATACCTAAGAACATTTGCCACAATGATAAAAGTGGCATTAGTTTGGGTAAAAATATAAATCAAAATACCTGTGTAGACTTGCCACAGCCAGTATCTCCTGCAATTATAACGACCTGATTGTCTCGTACAAGCTCTACTATTTCTGACTTGTGTTGGAAGATAGGCAGATTCTCCTGATCCGCCTTTACTTTCTTCAACTTGGATAACTGAATACATCAAACAAGACAAAACACTATCTTAAATGATATATTAAAATCTTAAATGATATATTAAACAACAGCAAGCACTATCATTTCCATCTTCTGGTATGAAAATCTCCTAATTTACTCTTTAAGTTTATGACAACAAGAAACCAAAGTGGGTCTACAATTGCCCAATTGAATAAATGGAAAAGATTTTAATTTTAAACATAATCCTAGCCGCAAGGTCTTAATTTACAAAACTTTTGAAGAGGCCCATTAGATAATGTTTCTCACCAAACCTCGAAGATTTAAAACATTTACAAAACATAAACAAAGATATGCCCTTATAGAATAAGCAACTATTACTGAACCTTTTGTTTCTGTTGAAAGTCAAGGTAGTGCAATAATATATTCTTAAATTCCTTCACTCTCTCAACAGTAATCTCTTCATCAATGTCCGCATCTGAAGAATAAAACAATCGATTAAAATCTATTGACAGTAGAGGTAATTATGACTTACCTTATTTACCAGTATACAGCTAGGTCAGTCAGCACATCTGAGCATTTTTACCTTTTTCTAGGGATGACATATTTGGTTAGCTTTTACCTACTTCAAGGGATGACATGGTAAACAAAAATGCTAACAGTTAAAATGGCAATCAAATAACTATGTTAAACAAAAAAACCAACTGTATTGATAGAATTCTTTCATTTTAAACATAAATTTCTGTTTTATGATAAGTTATCACATTTTGTTTGTATTTTGTTATACTCAACAATGATAACAAAACATATCCAATTACAGAGTTTATTGTCCATTAGGATCATTCCATACATAAGGTAGAATGCATATTTTACCATAAAGAAACAAACTTAATAATGTTTAAAATCAATCTGAACTTTCTTCAGCTGTTGGTCTAATAGACTAATACTAATCTTGTTACTGGTTATTGAATTTTTTTTTAACTGGTTTTTATTAAAGTCCAACCGGACCTGTGCAGAACCAGTTTAAATGGATAAATGTGACAACACTTACAAATGTACCTAATTTTTTACTGGTCATATCCTAATGAACAAAACCAGTGATTGATGAATAAATTACCTCAAACCAACTCTGTCATTCTTGATGTTTTAATTGTTAACGTTCTAGTCTTGTCTTCCATAATTATGTCAGTTTAATTAAGCTAAGAACTTAAACAATCTATTTTTCATCAAATTCAATATAATTTATATAACCTATAAAGTTGTAATCATTATTTTATAATATTAGCTTTTCCTCCTATTTCTCTTTCAAATGCTTTATAAGCAAACAAACTGACATTATAAAGATGTGAGATGTGGTAGTATAGTTTGCCATGGATGTAAAACCTGTACATACTCTAACATTGACAAAAAAAAGTCTGAGATATAAAACTGCAGGAAACTTTTATATTTCAGAAAACTATCACAGTAAAATTTCATATCAAAGGTATCTATTTTATCCTCACATTCAATTCTATGATTTTAGAAAGTAACGGAAAAAAAACAATATTTCATTACTTGAACTGATCAGTATCTACTTATACATAGATTATTTTAGATAGGAAAGAAATCCACATAATTTTTGACTTCCTTTTCAATCTTGTATTATATCAAATTGTTGTATATAATTATATATATTTTTTTAACTATACGAAATAAATACTGTTTAAACCAAACAATATATTATCATGACTTAAATTTATATAAGTACTCATGTTTTTTTTTATATAAAAGACATTACCTGCAAGTCTCCCTTTTTTAATAAAATCTTCAACATCTCTGTTTTTCAAGGCTATGTTTATACGGTATCTTTTATCATAGTGAGATGGTATACCAAGACTAGACTCTCCTGACACACATGGTTTGGTCTCTGAAAGAAAAAATCAAAAGCCTTGAAATTTTATGTCAGTCCACATGGAAGATCGGAGAATAGAATGTGTCAGCCTCGTTAAATAAAGGCGTGACTTACTTACTATAAACGGGGCTTCACAAAGAAATATGGATTTAACTCATTGCAGTGTTGGAGGAGTACCTCGATCTAGACACTTGCAGAAATCATTATCACAAAGTACAAAAATATCGCTTTTTTCACCAATTCTTACATTCTTCATTCATGATGGTACATAAACCAGTGTGGGGAGATGAGTCAGACAAAGTCGAAATAATTAGCATTTAATTATTCAAGCCCCTTGTCTGGTATATACCGGAATACGGCATTTAGTGTAGTGCTCCAACACTATTTTTTGTCTCACTCAAGAAATATATACCTTTTTTAAAACATGATAAGTTGCAACAGAATATGACATCTTTATTATAAAAGAATTTAGACTTTGTTATGAACAACTATCAACCACTTACTTGGATTTTTATCTTTTTGTCGTTTTTGGAAGTTTTCATATTTTTCAACAAACACCCAAAAGTCATCATATTCTTTACTTCCTCTGTAAAATAATACAAAAAAAAGTTATTTAAAAAGAGATGGCAAAGTCATCTTCAGATAACAACATATACTGTTTCATACACTAAAATACTTATACAGCGAGTCAGTTGCTATGAATTTTACTCAGTTTTCAAATTCATCTCTCTACAAAGACATTCTTCCTATGAGCATTTCCTTAAATTTAGTCCAATTCTGTTGAATTTATAGGAATTAAGTTGATTTCCTCAAGAGAGAAATTTATCTGCTATAAATGATAATGTTTTATCAATATGGTACCTTGTTATGTCATTTTGACTGTGTAGATAGTGCAGGGTGGACATGGTAGGTACAATGTAACTTGGTACACAAATTTTCAGGCAAATTATGACAGCGCAGAAGACAATTTTTAGAATTATGTGTATTGATTTTGAAATTCTAGGTTGTGACTACTTTGCTTGGGTCAGGCATGTACGGAGAATGAGACTCTTTTCCCATAAAAGGTTTTTTATCGAGTACAGATTGAAAACAGTACTTAATTCATATGGTACTGAATGCATACAGTACTAAATTCATACAGTACAGAATGAAAACAGTACTAAATCCATATGGTAAAGAATTAATAAAGTGCTTAAGTCATACAGTAAAGAATGAATACAGTACTAAATTCAAACAGTATGGAATGAATACAGTACTGGCAGATTTTATCATTGCTCAATATAATTTTTTGCTGAGGCAGGGAAAATTATACGCCCAATGTCAAATACATAAGATGGTATCATGGATAAAAATATATCATAAAGACAGATAGCAAATTTATTACTGTAAATGACCAGGTACAGATGATGATTTTTCTGTCAAATGTAGTAGAAAAATATACAATCTAATTATTTCTAAGTCAAAATAATAACATTTAGTAACATGAAATATCTGAACTTTCTTGGTTTCATTTTGACTGAACAAAAACAATTTGTTCAAAAATCAATTACACTATATAATATAAAATTTGCCTTTCACTTATGATACTCAAATTTACCTGAAAAAGACACACAGTGAGTCAAAATAAAACTTTAATACACTAAAGTGTGAATACATGTATTACTCATTAATAACACAGTAATATGATCGTTGAAAAAGCAAAATGGCATGACCCTTAAGGCAATAAATAATTTCACAGAAATTTGGATAAAAAGGGACATAACTCTATCAATAATGAGCTGATAAAATCAAACTCAACTTGTGTTTAAACTAAAATATTGACATAAACTAATAAAGCGCATTAAAAGTCCTCAAAAGTGATCCTGCGGGAAACAAAAGGGCCATGATGCCCCTGAAATAGCTCACCTGTATATAGGCCCCTGGGCCAAGGCCAACTTTAAACCAAGGGCTTTTATTTGAACCAACTTGGTAGACACCCATTAGAAGATGTTTTATGATAAATATCTAAGCTCTAGCTATTTGGGTTTTTTAAAAGAAGATTTTATAAGTTTTTACTATATACAAATATGGAAAACCATTGACCCCCTGGCGCATTTTAGGCCATACGACGCCAAAACAGGAATGATGATTTTTTGCTAACCTTGGGTGTTACAACTTAAAGCAACACCAGGGGTCAAAACCACCCCTTACTATCACACAGGGATAAACTGCCGCTGCAATTCTGATGCCTTAACCCTTAAAGGCAACCTCTTTGCCACACACATTTAATCTTTCTTATAAAAATTACATCTGAAAAATTACAACAGTAAGACTCTATGTTTTATTAAAATAGATGTAATAATGAAGAAGTTAAAGAGCTTTTCACTTAGGTCCAGTCTAAGGCTGAAGATGAATCCACTCTTGACAGTCTGGTGCCCCAATACAGAAACTAAAAGATGGAAATAGTGCAGTGTTGGGTGGCAAGGTGAGACATTGAAAAGGGACTCTGGCACTCATGGTGCATGGCATATATATCTCATTGCAAACTCTATCATATGCTATTAAATCTAGCAATTAAATTACAACCATCCATCCAAAAAATAAACATGGCCAAACAGAAATATTAATATTCAATCTCATGGCTTTAGAAACTACCATAACTAGAACTGCCACGGTCATGGCGTGAATACCCCCGCATACCACTTTGTCAGAATCAACAGTGGACATTTCTAGCTCAAGGACAACCACCCTGACAAATCTGAGGTTACTAAGCCAATGCATTGCTTAGATATTTATTCTCCATGCTTCAAATGTGAAAATTTTAAAAATCAAGTTTTTTTTTTGTCAAGGCCCCTGTGACCTTGACCTTTGACCCAGTGACCTCAAAATCAATAGGGGTCATTTAGTAATCATGACTAACCTCCATGCCAAATATGAAGACTGTTGGTTGAAGGATCTCAACTTATTGGGCAGACAAGCTTTTTTTTAGTCAAAGCCCCTGTGACCTTAAACTTTGACCCAGTGACCTCAAAATCAATAGGGGTCATCTACTAATTATGACTAACCTCCATGCCAAATATGAAGACTGTGGGCCAAAGGAATCTCAAGTTATTGGGCGGACAAGCTTTTTAAAGTCAAGGCCCCTGTGACCTTGACCCAGTGACCCCAAAATCAATAGGGGTCATCTACTAATCATAACTAACCTCCATGCCAAATATGAAGACTGTGGGTCAAAGGAATCTCAAGTTATTGGGCGGACAAAGTTTTTTTAGTCAAGGCCCCTGTGACCTTGACCTTTGATCCAGTGACCTCAAAATCAATAGGGGTCATCCACTAATCATGAATAATCTCCATGCCACATATGAAGACTGTGGGCCAAAGGAATCTCAAGTTATTTGGCGGACAAGTTTTTTTTAGTCAAGGCCCATGTGACCTTGACCTTTGATCCAGTGACCTCAAAATCAATAAGGGTCATCTGCTTATCATGACTAACGTCCATGCCAAATATGAAGACTGTGGGCCAAAGGAATCTCAAGTTATTGGGCGGACAAGGTTTTTTTAGTCAAGGTCCCTGTGACCTTGACCTTTCATCCAGTGACCTCAAAATCAATAGGGGTAATCTGCTAATCATGACTAACATCCATGCCAAATATGAAGACTGTGGGTCAAAGGAATCTCAAGTTATTGGGCAGACAAGCTTTTTAAAGTCAAGGCCCCTGTGACCTTGACCCAGTAACCCCAAAATCAACAGGGGTCATCTACTATCATGACTAACCTCCATGCCAAATATGAAGACTGTGGGTCAAAGGAATCTCAAGTTATTGGGCAGACAAGGTTTTTTTAGCCAAGGCCCCTGTGACCTTGACCTTTGACCCAGTGACCTCAAAATCAATAGGGGTCATTAACTTATCATGACTAACCTCCATGCCAAATATGAAGACTGTGGGCCAAAGGAATCTCAAGTTATTGGGCGGACAAGCTTTTTAAAGTCAAGGCCCCTGTGACTTGACCTTTGACCAAGTGACCCGACTAACCTCCATGCCAAATATGAAGACTGTGGGTCAAAGGAATCTCAAGTAATTGGGCAGACAAGGTTTTTTTAGCCAAGGCCCCTGTGACCTTGACCTTTGACCCAGTGACCTCAAAATCAATAGGGGTCATCAACTTATCATGACTAACATCCATGCCAAATATGAAGACTGTGGGCCAAAGGAATCTCAAGTTATTGGGCGGACAAGCTTTTTAAAGTCAAGGCCCCTGTGACCTTGACCTTTGACCCCACAATCAATAGGCAAAATCAATAGGGGTCATCTACTAATCATGACTAACCTCCATGCCAAATATGAAGACTGTGGGTCAAAGGAATCTCAAGTTATTGGGCGGACAAGGTTTATTTAGTCAAGGCCCATGTGACCTTGACCTTTGATCCAGTGACCTCAAAATCAATAGGGGTCATCTGCTAATCATGACTAACATCCATGCCAAATATGAAGACTGTGGGCCAAAGGAATCTCAAGTTATTGGGCGGACAAGCTTTTTAAAGTCAAGGCTCCTGTGACCTTGACCTTTGACCCCTAAATCAATAGAGGTCATCTACTAGTCATGAATAACCTCCATGCCAAATATGAAGACTATGGGCCAAAGGAATCTCAAGTTATTGGGCGAACAAGGAAAAACTGACGGATGGATGGACGGACGGGGAGACGTCTGGACAGACAAGCTGATTCCAGTATACACCCCTTACAACTTCGTTGTGCGAGGGTATAACTAATCATGACTAATCTCCATGCCAAATATGAAGACTGTGGGCCAAAGGAATCTCAAGTTATTGGGCAGACAAGCTTTTTAAAGTCAAGGCCCCTGTGACCTTGACCTTTGACCCAGTGACCCCAAAATCAATAGGCAAAATCAATAGGGGTCATCTTCTAATCATGACTAACCTCCATGCCAAATATGAAGACTGTGGGTCAAAGGAATCTTAAGTTATTGGGTGGACAAGGTTTTTTTAGTCAAGGCCCCTGTGACCTTGACCTTTGATCCAGTGACCTCAAAATCAATAGGGGTCATCTACTAATCATGACTAACCTCCATGCCAAATATGAAGACTGTGGGCCAAAGGAATCTCAAGTTATTTGGTGGACAAGGAAAAACTGACGGACGGCCCGACGGGGAGACGTCCGGACAGACAAGCTGATTTCAGTATACCCCCCCTTACTATTTCGTTGTGCGGGGGTATAAAAACTCTTACTAAATACACAACACTATATTGCTATGGAAATTATGATATATAGCCACCCTGCTACATTTGTTGCCGTACAGTCAAATGCTGAACTGACACCATCTTATACCATCTTTACCCACTGTCATTGTTTATAGTTAAGCCAACTGTAAACACATAAATATTGGGATTCTATTATTAAAATGTATGTATTACTGACTAAAGGAGTAGCCAATGTACCATTTTAATTTATACTGTATTACCCCCCCCCCCCCAACCTTTGCACCTGCACATCACAAACCAAGACATTGTCTAATCTCACTTTTCATGAAGCTTACTTTTGCTTGGGCAATTTCAAACACAATCCAGTATAGCCCTATCTATAATACTAGAAAATTGAGAGGTTGGTAGTTCACTGAGAGGAATTGAAATGCACTGACCCATACTACTAGCCAATATACAAGTCAGTCAGTCACATATGGCTTGCCTATACAAACTGTATAGAGGCTAGCTCAGTAGCTGTATATCATTTTTTCAATGATAAATAAAAGAAGTGTTACTTGCATGTTGACATTATCACAAATTATGAATATATAATTTTTTCAATTAATACTTCTAAGGGCAGCCATTCTAAAGGATGATGTAATATAACAGTAAAATGTAGGCGGAGTAATTTATGCAGAGTTGTTGAAACATTTGCCCAGCAGGATTAAAATCTTTTAATCTATGGAAGAAGGTCACACATAATAATTATTTATTAATCAATGGATTAGTGTCAACAGTTCATGTGTATTACTAAACTGTCTGGGAAAATCTATCTGATATCAACATCTTAGGATAGTTTAAATGCAAATATAATTGCATAATATTGGAATTGTTCCTGCTGCAAATAAGTTCCAAATTTTTATTTTCACCCTGAAAAAATATTTACCTGGACACCTCCGGGAGAATCAGGGTCAGCTCGTCCCTACAACATATTTGGCCCCTCAGTAAGCTCGGCCCTATTCCAACTCAGCAAGGGTCAACTCAGCCCACTTTTTAATATATTGGTTTGGTTAATCACTCTTTATTGTTGGAACCACATAATTAATATATGGGCTTATTCACAAACATGGAAAGATATTTTCTTAAATTATTATTACATTTTTTGGTAATGTAATAGTTTTCAATAATTTGGAATATATGAATTCATTACAATCCATCCTTATAACATTGCAAAATACATTGCATGACGTTAACAAATGCATTACATGTTGTTTTATGTATATAAGATAAAGAACAAATATTTGAAATATTTATATAATAAATAAACACGTTTTTATTTCATATTTTATTGGAGATTACTTTACAAACAAAATGCATGATAGGGGACACATTTGTATGATATTAACTTAAAACTTAACGAAACAAATTTCTTCGAAATATACTTTAATTCTGCAGAAGTGCAATGTATCAATCATATAATAATATACCAGATATCTCTTATTTTTCATTTAAAACAGCTTGCCCTTTAACATGCAAGTAACCAAAAAAAGTTAATTAATGCATTTTATATGTTTTTCAAAAGTGGACCGAGTTGACCTGAGCCGAGTTGACCCGTTGCCAAGATGGTATAAGGCCGAGTTGACTCTTTACCCCTCCGGGACATTATGGCATGTATGCTTACAAGCCTTGTGTACATGTAGTTGTGAAGCTTTTAAACCATCATTTTTATCAAGATCTCTACAGTATAGATTAAATCAAAAGGGGTTTTAAGGGTACCTTGACTCTATAGCTGTCACCAGTTTTTTTTGGGTCTAGACCTAGTTTTGGTCACAACTGACCCTAAAATGGAGTCTAGGCACCGTTACAAATAGTCCTATAACATAAGACGTTTGTGTTAGTACTACGTACACTCCAACGTCTTATCGACTTCTTCATAAGTTCCTTTAGCAAAACACTATATAAACCGTCATAATTTACTACAAAAACAATATTTTGAGTCAAAAGATTTGCAGACAGACATCAATGTGCAGCAAAAAAAAAAAAGACTCACCTTCGAATGTAAATAAATCCAATCCAATACAATTTAAACCACTTTCACCGCTATATACATTCGGCCATAATAATTACCTGTATACATGTGGGCGAGTTTTGCTAAAGGAACTTATGAAAAAGTCGATAAGACGTTGGAGTGTACGTAGTACTAACGGAAACGTCTTATGTTACAAGACTAGTAGTACTAGCAGTAGGTTACAAATCCCGTTGGATTAAACCAACACTCACCTTCTAATGAAACTCTGTTCTCTAAAGAAAATTTTGTTCAAAGAATGTTTAAAGCGAGAAAAACTGAATGTTCCACCACTTGCTGTATGTTCATTTGTTCGTTCGGCTGCATATCTTTTTCTACTTTCATTTTCAATTTCACTATTCGAGCGTTTGTAAGACGTCGGGCTTCGACTGCGACTTCGTTTCCTATGTTTCTCGTGTCTGTCATGTCGATAGTGTGACCGCTGATCGCTCATTTTAATAATGTTATAACAATATATTTGAAAAATGCATGTTTTAATCCTAAAATAATCTTAAAATACAAAAATAAAAACATCAATTTAATGTAAACAGTCAAAAAAATAATCTATGTCGCTAAACGCTTTACACACAGAGACACCTCTAAAATCGGGCAGACTTCGGTATCGTATCGTATAAATTCTAAATCCCGTTGTGTGGCACGGCGCCGTACCTACTACATGCGTATTTTATATATTATTTTATATCTTAATCTATTGTGGTTGAAATCACGATCATATTTATGAGATTAAAAGATCTTTTTACCACCAGCTACTATATTAAACATTCCATCACAATTTAAAAGGAAATGAAATATTATTGTATCATAGTTTGGGGACCTTTCTGTTGAAAATGTGTCAGAGTTAAATCGTATATATATACATGCACATGGAGTGCAGGCACTCCAGAGCATGCCAATTGATTGGCTCATTTTTGCTGGGATTTACTTATTGTGACGGCAGAGAAAAGGAAAGCGACAGAAATATCATATTCAGATGCTCGTTCATTGGTTCCTTTTTTTCTAGGGTTTCATATTATGACATCAGGGAACGTGTTTTAATGTTTGACTATGATACAAAAGAGAAAGAACATCAAAACACTCGGCAATCTGATTAATACTCGGGGGCTACGCACAAATCAGATAGCCTAGTGTTTCGATGCTCTTTCTAATACTTAATCAAGTTACTGTCAAGTCGTAAATTCGTAGTTTATCTATCAAAGTTTATTTTTATGCCCCCGGGCATATAGTTATTGAACCGTCCGTCCGTCCGTCTGTCCGAGCAAACATTTTGGGTTTAGGGGCTATATAACAGTAAAGAGAACAAAAGAGAACAATAGGTTCATTCCGTGATCAAAATGTTTAGGGGCTAGTAGCCCTTAAGATAACAAAGAAAATAACAAAGAAAATAGCCCCTAAAGCCAAAATGTTGGAACGTCGGTCCGTCCGTCTGTCCGTACGAGGTTAACCTTGAACGGCAAGTTGGATTTTTCTTAAGTTCGACCTGTACCAATGGTTTCTTAGTTTACACACTTACTAATCAATACAAAGTACATGATCTGGTCAAGTTACATAACTATGGCTTCCATATTTACCAAGTTATTGCCATTTTCAGCACTTAGAAAATGAATATAATATGGTTAACCTAAAACGACAAGTTGGAAATATCTTAAGTTCTATCTATACTAATGGCTTCATAATTTCCACACTTACTTATCAATACAAAGTACATGATATTGCCAAGTTATATAACTGTGTCATCCATATTTCCCAGTTATTTCCCTTTTTTCACTTTGAAAATAGGGCCTTGTCTGGTTAACCAATTCCGGCAAGTTAGATTTATCGTAAATTTCTCTTAATTGCTTAATTTATTCAATGATATCTTGCATGTTTGGTAGGTGGATACCTTTAATGGTCCTATAATTTTTTGTGGAGTAAGTGGTCTCTAGGGTCAAGGTCAAGGTCACTGGTTTAGAAAATAAATTTAAACATTTTTGCTCATACAACCTTTATTTTTTGGTTGATGTCTTTCATGTTTAATATAAACATGCCAAGGGAGGTCCTCCTTCTTTTGGGTATAGTAAGGGGTCATTTGGGTCAAGGTCAATGTCACCAATGTCAAGGTCACCAATGTTAAAACTAGATTTTTACATTTTTACAGGTGTACTAACCATATTCTATAGACAGATGTCATTTATAATTGATAGGAACATAAAATTTGATGGAGTTAGTGGTCAGTTGGGTCAAGGTCACCAGTGCTAAAAATAGATTTTTACACTTTTGCTCATACAGCCTTTATTTATTGACAAATATATTTCATATTTGATAGGAAGATAACCTGCATGGTATACTTCCTTTTGATTGAGTTAGGGATCAGTGTGTGAAGGTCACAAGTGCTAAAAATAGATTTTTACACTTTTGCCCATACAGCCTTTATTTATTGACAGATATATTTCATATTTGGTAGGAAGATAACTTGCATGTTATTCTTACTTTGGATGGAGTTAGGGGTCAGTTGGGTCAAGGTCACAAGTGCTAAAATAGATTTTTACACTTTTGCCCATACAGCCTTTATTTATTGACAGATTTAATTTATATTTGGTTGGAAGATAACTTGCATGGTATTCTTCCTTTTGATTGAGTTAGAGGTCAGTTTGGTCAAGGTCATCAATGCTCAAAATAGATTTTAACATGTTTGCCCATACAGCCTTTATTAATTGACAGGTGTATTTCATATTTGGTAGGATGATATTTTATAGGTGTCAGTGGTTCAAGGTCAAGGGTGCCAAGTATAGATTTCTTACATTTATATATATTTGATAAAGTTGAATATTTATCACTTCACAAGTCATAGCAATGACTTGGCAACTTATATATTTCACAATTACAAAATGCCATGACTCTGTCAAGCTATATAACTTGTGTTTACAATTTTTTGGCAATGTTTCTGTCCATAACTGAGTGAATGGGTAAACATTTTTTGAAAAATTGCTACTGACAAGAATCGGAGCCGGTGGCATTTGTGTTTCATTTCCTCTTGCAATAGAAATTACCAAAAACAATTATTTTGACCATGTGATATTTTATTTTGTTGTATTCCCCAAGTCTTTCAAATCGTATTAATAAGACCCTGCTTTCCCACAGAAGGTTACCCCGTAGACTGACGTAATCTAAATACAGATCGAGACGTTTAGGAGGATCTATGACAGGGAACGCTCTCCGGAAAATACATTTTGGCAGGAGTGGTCGATTTCCCGCATTCAAGAGTTCTTGAACTACATTAAAGATATACCAGAAATGTAAATATTTGAACATATACACATAAAATGTCGGAAAGGGACCATGTACATGTATAATCCCGAAAGAACACCAACACAGCTACAATGTACCTCCTTGTGCCTCCACAGAGTTATGCTTTCTTCCTTTTGGTATTACAATAAATATAGCATAAAACGCTTATTATGGATTTCTAAACAAAATGACGTCTTTGAAAGTAAATCATATAATTATTAGCAATATTAACACATGATTAATGATTCTCTAGTGAAACTTTTGTAAACGATAAGCCCGCTTAAAGGGACTCAACTGAGGTTTTTAGACATGATGGGACTGAAAATATTTTTTCCAGATAAATGTACCATTTGATGTAGGTTTAGACCACTAATCTTTGTGCAAAATTTCAGATCATTCGCGCGCTTCGTTTTTCCAGAATAATAATTCAAATTGTAAAAAAATGACCCAAAATGAAAAGCGTTTAAACGCTTTTCACTAAAATCGGGATAAGGAAAGCATAAAAATACGATTTTCAATATATTTGAAAGTATATTTCTTAACTATCTTTGCATATATTTCTGTTTAAAGTGACCCTGCTCATTTATGTAAGAAATTCAAATGTTATGTTTTTAGGCTTTTAAACCTCAGTGGAGTCCTTTTAAAGCCAGTAAAACATGTACACAAACTGTTTAATGCGTATTTTTATATTGGTAAGATTTGTGAAATGTTTAAGTACGTACTTTTATTACCTTTTATATTATGTCAGACATTTCTTAAATGCATGCGATTCGATGCTGTTAGTCATGCTTTTTAAAAAATATTTTGATAGTACGTTGTATATGAAACAACTGTTTAATGTCTTTCTTGTACAGTATTTTAACACCATTTTAGTTTAGATAAACTGTTTTAATTTTAATGTAATATTTCATGACCATCTCGATCTTATAATTCCTATGGAATGGCATGGCATCTATTTTTTTTTTCAAGATAAATATAATTTAGAAATGTATGTTTATCATGTATATGCAAAGATCAGATGTAATTAAAGATACTTCTATGTTGGCATTGAGTCAATGGAATTTGCAATGTGTAATAGGATTTTCGTTTGTTATTGGAATGTACTATATATGTCGACCGGAAATTATATCGCAGTTTACACGAACTCAGATAACTCTTTTTTTTAATTCATTGTGGTCTAAGTAAATCAAAATATAATCAAAGCCATAATAATATATAATAATTTAAAAACCTAATATGCCTCATAAATGCTTTTATTTTTATTTCTAAAAAAAGCTTTTGAATTTTGGCGTACTTTTATAGTATCCAAATAGTTACTCATTGGGCAATTACCTGAACCATCGTTTCCAACTGTTGCTTTTTTGGCAATAGGTACAGTTGTAGTGAATTTGTATTTTGTATGGAAGTCAAAATACTACCTTGTTTCCTTTTTGTTACCTTTATGACAAATTATTTCACATTTATAGCTACTTAATTTTTTCAGGTAACAATTATCTTACATTCTTTAAGACCATAATTTAAACATTATGAAATTCATGTTTGCTCTTTCAAAAAAATAAAAATGTATTTGTTTCTGATGCATAATGTGCCTTTAAAAGAAGAGTTTGGTAGACAGAGCGTTCACCAGATACTGAACACTATGCTATGATATCGATGATAGGGATATTTGTTTGAGGTTGCAGGAATACTTGTAGAAATACGATTAAAAATTGATCAATAACAAAAACAACAACGACAACAACAACAAAACATCAAAAACAAACAGAACAACAGCAACAACACATGGTTCATTACAAGTTTTTTTCGCCTTGCATTTTAGAGTATGGTCCGTGTTGACTGAAAGATTCTTCAATGGCTAAGCACGACATTTGATAGAAAATAAGTCGTCATGAGGGAGAGATTTTTTTCTTTGATTAAATTTAGCAATCATTAAAGAGAAAAGGGGAAATGTCCGTCACGTTTCTTTTATTTTCTGATGATAATGTTCAATGGCGAAGATACCAAAAAAAGGGACCTGGCTTGTCTTAATGATGTTGAGTCTCATAATATCATGTTCATACATTAAATGAAACATCAAAATTCTGATAAAGGTGGGACAACGAACGTTTCAAAGGGATTCTAAAAAAGTGATATAAGACAATATTTGAAAAGGAAAACTTGATAGCACTAGAGACTACTGGTATAGAAAGCGGTAACATGTTCATGAGAAAAGTCATACATGTTTGATATATCGTATATGTATAAGATCTAGAACGATGTAGACCACAAGACCTATACGTAATATGCCTAAAATATATAATCGGGCGTTACGCG